TATATATATAAAATGGTTTGCTTGAGATGCGTCACTTTTCGCTGTATAAGTGTAATGCAACCGCATTACAAGAATCACCGACACTGGCATAAACCCGAAGATGTTTCATTTGTAGAGTATGTACGTAAATAATATTTGTTTTAAAAAAAGTAAAAAGAAGGAGACACTCGCAAATGAAACATCGCAAATAGGCCATTGACTACCTTGTTGATGATTATGTTGCGTAAAACACACCTTTGTACGGAGCCGCCTTTTAGTTTTTTTTTTTTTTTAGTTTTTTTTTTTTTCTTGGAAAAAAGTTATAGCTTTAACGAATTAGAAACAGGCTGACAATTGATTGATTGGTGACTCATTTGTCACCAACTACTGAGTTTTTTCAGGTATTCGACTCGCCTTTGCTCCCAATCTCGGCTCTGATATTCTCAGTCCTGATCATCTCTTTCCTATTACATAGTCTCGATTTATGTGTTAAAGGCATGTCCACTATCGTATGCTACAAGGTATTTGATGTTCATTCTTTGTGGTATTTATAAACGAAACTCATGAATACCGCAATGTGTATGCAGAAATCAGGTACTTGCAGAGTAACATTTGTCAAGTTGAAGATTTGAGATACAATATCTCAAATATCAGCTTTTTGAGAAAAAATATTATCTATTTCGCGCAGAATCACAACACCAATAGCGTACAACTCGATTATTATATCTTGGGACTTTTGTAATAATACAGTACGCGCGTACAATTCAGTGGGACTATCATACAGTTAAATTTTATGTACAATATGAAAAGTCTTAATTGTATTATGATACTTTGCAAGTGCAACGATTTAATGGATTAGATTAGGAGAATCATTCCGTTACTTGTATATACTCGTAAATGTGCTGAAGTGATAAGTTTCACTCTTTCAGAGTCTGTCTTGTCAAGTCATTTTATTTATTGATCGAAGATATATACATTTTTCTATAAGCTAAAAGAACAGTAATAGTGCTGCCTTATTTCGTCGCTTTTTTCGTGAATTCACGCCAATTTCACGTTTGAATATAAGATGAAGTATATTACAGTATCGTACACACACACTCACACACACACACACGCAAAAAGGACTAGGCCAGTTGTTTTGATAGATCACAAAACCTTTTGCTTTCCACGCGTGTTAATGTTAACATGACATACTACGAGTAATGCAACACGGTCATCTTTTTAGATAGCTACGTATGAAACGTGTAGAGCGAATTCATTGTACGCGCTAGAATCCATCTTCAACCGAATTTGTTATCATTATTATCGCACGGTATACCGTGGAATAACCGTGCTTTTTTTCTAACACGATCGTATCATAATCGCCCTCATATAGATTCCATGCAAAAAAGAATATTTCTCTATAGATATTTTTATTCTTCGATGATTATTTTGATTCGCACGCGCAGATGAAGTCGGATCAATTCGTGTGAAAATGAAAGATTTATTTCTATATAAGAGATTATGTAAGATAATACAGTGCATTATTGCAATCGGTTTCATTCATTTCATCCCGAGAAATATCGTATAAAAATTTTCCAACTTTTTCAATTGCAGAATCTTCTTCCTCCAAAATCAAGTCTCAGGCGAAAGATTTAATTTTTTAATTTTTTTATAAACTATATATAAGCCTACCTACATAATATATTGTTGATACATAATTATTTCCGGAATTAAAAATGTGTTATTTATTATATTTGTCCATAAAAATGTCTATTTATAGAAAAATTGTTTATGATTATATTATATTAATTTACAATGTATATGGAATAGTATGAAGCTTGACTTGTCATCAACATATCACTAAAAAATTGAATACACTTTTTTCAAATAAAAATATTTCTAATCATTATATTTTTCTAAATTTCTCGCCTGTTCTTGGTAGAAGATTCAGAATGCAATGCTTTATATGTGAAACTCAATTAATCAACAGGATTTCCCACATTATTATTAATCTCACGTGTTAATATATAGTTCTTCTAGTTTATACGACTGATATATTTGGCTTGGAAAATAGCCTCCGTCATTGCCTTCTGACAAATTAAATATTCATCTATTTTAACACAAAACTCAGTAAAATTTAATAGAGAATGTATGCATATATACATACATAATTGGAACTAACAAAAGTTTAATTTGTGGAGACGCATAATGTGCGCTTTTAGCATATAACGATTAAATTCCGCGGAGCATATTAATCACGATGCAATATATTACTATTTTTCTTTTTTTTTTTGCTAAAATAGAAAGTCATTTTAATTAATTAGGCGCTGTTATATAAATAAGAAATATATATATATATATATATATATATATATATATTTATTCAATAAAGAAGAATTATTACTTTAAAGGTTGTGCGTGTCCTTGTTTCTCGCGAGAGCCTTTAAATCTATAATTTATCGATCATCTGAGTTTTCTTCCGTTCGCGCAAAACTTACGCGAGAGTTGTCGTGCCTGTTTATGCAAAGCAGCCTGGAAAACTGATCCTATATTCCGCATATACAGTAGCACTTTAGGCACTAAGTCTTTTTGAACAAGGGGAAAAGAATGTAAGTCAGCCGAACTGGCAATGAATTTCAAGTCTTACGTCGTTGCGTAACGTTGCATTGTGTGTGCGATAAATCGCTGCACCACTCGAAAGAATAGCCAGAAGAATATTTTTGTGGCTAAAACTAGTTTGTGTGTAAAACGTATAGTATTCCATACAT